AGTCGATCAGTCAGTCAGTCAGGCAGGCAGTCAGTCAGTCAGCCAATCAGTTAGTCAGTCAGGCAGTCAGAAAGACTGTCAGTCAGTCAATCAGATAGTCTGACCCTCAGTTATTTAGATGGTCAAATGTTTACAGGGTCAGACAGTCAGACGGTAAGACAGTCAGATGATCGACGGTCAGATAATCAGACAGTCGGATGATCAGACAGTTAGAAGTTCAGCCAGTCAGTCAGCCAGTAACTTATACAGATGGTCAGATGTTTAGAGGGTCAGACGGTCAGAAGGTACAGCTGTAAGACAGTCAGATGGTCCACAGTCAGATGGTCAGACGGTCGGAAGGCCAGACAGTCAGACAGTCATAAGTTCAGACAGTCAGTCAGCCAGTAACTCATACAACACACAGTATTGCATGGCTGTCATTTTCTTTCCTTTTTTCACAGTACAACCCTCAAAGTTCTGGTAGACAAAGAGTTGATTAATGGTGCTATGGTTATTTTTGCTGGCCAGCATGGACATGCACCTATAGATGGTAAGAACTAGTTGGAATATGAAATCTTTTAGATCTTGAAGAAGGCAGTTGTGGGTCAGACTAAAATACCCTGGTTTTCATTAAGTTTTGAATTAATGGGAGAATAGATGAACTGCTAGAGAGCCCTGGAGACCAAGTGAACATTTTCATCTTTTCACGGTGTATGATTTACCTTTTCATCATTACTATTTTACAAATTACTGAGCTAAGGTACTATGGTAGTTTAAACTGGGGAGTTTGCTCAGTTTAATTGGAGCTTTCTCCAAGCCTCAACCCTTAATGAAAATTCTGAAACACTCATGCGAGTAGTCCATTTGGCATTTGGCATGTATTACAGGTTTAGCTTTGTTTAAGTCAGAGAACATCCTTTACAAAAGTCAAGTAAAATGTAAAGAATGTACAGCTGTTCTGAAATCCCACAGAATTTTTATGTATTTATGAACAGATGAGGTTAAACTTGTATGTGCATGGTCATCAAAAATAAGAAAGATGTGTATTGAATAAGAAGATCAAGGGCCACTGACAGGGTTGTCAATAGAAGCGGCCGGCAACCGGCAGATTCTGCCATCTACTCTTGGTAATTTGGCCACCTACTCAGCCAATTCCCAATTCTCTCACTAACTCAGCTGCCTACTCAGCCACTTCTCAATGTAATGATCGTAAATCTTGATTAGAGTTCTTTAAACTAGCAAAATGTATGAATAAAATAAATTTTAACCCAATCTTTGTTGCTGTACTACCAAAACTGTAACACAATAGAAACTACAACGATCGTTGTCCGCCGTCTTAAATTTTTGTGAGAAGAGTGAGACTGGTGACAAATATACCTTGATTACATGCTCCAGTGATTTTCAGTTTACAGACTATTTCAATTTCATTTCATGACCGCCTACCAAAAATGTTATTGACAACCTTGACTGAGAATTAATTATCAGATTGCAAATGATGATATGACTACATTAATACTCTCACACTTCATTTGGGCAATGTGTGATGAAATAGTTAGTTGTTGTCATGCTATAGATTGATGATGTGAGCATTATACAGCTAACTGTCTTTACAGAGGACACCTGAGTTCAGGGCCGTCCGTAATAGCGAGCATCTGCAATAACAAGAATTAATTACAGTCATTTCTTTGTCATTATTTTGACCGGGGATTTTGCTCCTGTCCGTAATAGCGAGGTTCTTAATATTGGGGTGTCTGTAAGGCGAAAATTGACGACTGTGATCCTAAACYTTATTCTGTTTTCCACAGGTTTTTCTCCAGATGTTGATTGTCCTAATGATAGATATGGTGAGTATTTTGGGACCCGATACTAAAGGTTGTGTTGCATGGAACAATTCCTCAACTTTTCTTGATATTTTGACACCCTGAATTCTTAGTTTTTTTGCTGCAGTAAAAATAGAATTGCCTACTACTTTCTGCCACAGTTCATGTAAAAATTTACATGTGACATGGTCCTGCGCACAAGCCAATTGTTCATTCTAAATTCAACTTGACTTAATTTTTATTGAGAGACAAATTGCAACAAAATCGTGTGTGTGACATGGCAACAATTTTTTCCGCAAGACAAGTAATTGCATGAAAATTTGTTTCATGTGAAACATGCTTAATGTATCATGCCGTTCAACTCATGGTCATTGAAAAAGTATTAGAAGTACGCTGTACTTAGTAGTAACTAGTTGTTTTACTGCTATTGTACCCTTACTATGATAATTATACAGCTTCTCATTAATCCCATATAGGTAACTGTCCAATTACTTTCTTAATTGGACAGGTCTTGTTGATATGGGATTAGTTAGGCAGCTATATAATTAATAGGTAATGGGATTTCATGCTCCCCAATCAAGAAATAATTAGACTYGAAAAATTCCTCTGACTGCCAAATTGGACTCGRCYTAYGGCCTCAWMCAATTTTGKCAGTCCTCGKAATTTTCCTCGTCCAATTATTTCTTAATTGGACAGCATGGAGTCCTATTACATATACTAATACTAATAATATATAATTATTTTAATTTAAAATAATATAATTATTTTATCATTTATACCTGATTTTTATTCAACATAACATACTATTTTTTCCATATTCATAGGAATGTATTCTGATTCTAGTTACGGCTCTTGTAAAAAAGTCAAGTGGAACAAAAAGGTCATTATTAATAACTATTACAAAATTATAATTGTTGTCTAGTAAGATTATTGCCCTTTTTGAATTCATAAAACACCACATTACTTGATTACAGACTTGTAAACTCTGTGTTAGCCCCATTTCAGCACCAAAGCATCCTCAAATACTAACGATAAATTAAGAAATGCACTTCCACAAAACTTCACTGGAACACATGATTGTTTTACACAAAATCAAACATCTAACCCTGTGCATATAAAATTGTTTGAAACTGGAGTATCGTGGAAAATATGAAGTTATTATGGGTCATTATGACTACATTTATGCATGTACTGTAGGTTCTGATTCAATGATTCCTTGTGATTTTTTTATTTACCATAGATATTTTACTTAGTGTCATAAAATTTAATATGTAATATTTTTTTCTTCCAGGGAAACGGCATGTCCTTCATTTCTTATGGTATACCAGTCTTTGCTTTGTATGATAAAGATGAAGTCAATGAGCTGATAAAGGTTTGTCTGTCTGTCTGTTCATCTGTTCATTCGTTCATTCATACTTTCTCTCATTAGTTTTTTCTTTTGTTCATTCGTTCGTTAATTTAATTATTTGTTCATTCATTCTTTCATTCATTTATTCTTTCATTTACATTCTTTTTTAACTGTACATTTGTCTGTTTTTTTATTTATTGTTCTATTCATTCATTTTATCCTGTCATTCTGTCCACTGTTGTTTGACCTTCATTCGTTTGTTCCTTCTTTTATCCATCCATCCATTCATCCATCCACCCACCCACCCATCCATTCATTAGGTCATATATCCATCCATCCATCAGGTCATCCATCCATCCATCCAT